ATGGTCATAGGATTTTTAAAATAGCAAATTTCATGATTTCAGCTATTTAAATCAGAAATTTTGCGGTGTTGTAATTGTAGGGGTCCTGACCCAAAAAGGAGTTGTGAGGGGTCGCAAGGTTATTGTAGGGGAAGTTGCGGGACTGCTACCCTTACTTCTGAACTGCTGTTGGCGGCGACACTGACTTCAGGGCTGGGCAGCTGGAGAGCGGCAGATGCTGGCCAAGAGCCCAGGTCTGAAGACAGCGCCACTGCCAGCAGCAGTGCAGAAGTAAGGGTAGCTGGTCTCCCCTGTGAAATCTGTAGAGTACAGGGTAAAAGCACACAAGACCAGATTTCACGGGGGTTGGGGAGAGGGGGAGAGACCAGATTTCATGGTCCATGAATCATCGTTTTACTAGGCTCTTTTGCCACAAATTCCCCAGCTGCTTTGCTTTAAGCATTCTGTTGCTTAGAGCTGCTCTGAGCAAAGTTAGATGACAGCCCCTTAAATGCCTCCTGGAGCTTGTCTACCCGAGCGTTCCCACCAGTAGAGCTGAAAGAGGGAGAGGTATTTTACCAAAAATTTCCCACCATAGCAAACTATTTATGTCTGCAACAGTCTTTGACAAGTTCTTTATCTCCCCTCCTTAAATAAAATCTGAACTCGCTGCTTTCTCATCCTCAATAATCCCCATGCTGTCTCATCTGATTTGTTCTCCAGTGTCTTGTTTTATTTAGGCAGAGACCTTCATAATCTGATTCTAAAGTACTGTTTAAACTTAATGGTTTATCTACTTTTTAAAAAACTGATCTGCTTGGATGCCCAGTTTGGCAAAGGTGTAGATGTCGCAGAGATTCATCTACAAATGATGCATGGGCTAGGATGTGGGAAGATTGTTTTTTCTGTCCATCATAATTCTTGAAATCTGACATTGAGTCTTCTCTGCTAACTAATGGACTATGTATCATTTGCAGTGGTCTTAGATTACGTGGGGCTGGCACAGTTATGAGTTAATTACACTGACTTTCTTTTATGGAAGTGGTGTTACATAAAGTTAAAATCCTTAGTGCCATTTCAATGTTTCTGGTGTTGAATATGATAAGAGCAAAAGTTCAGTGTGTACAATTATATATGGTATAATGAATCTCATTTACTCCAGGAGGATTGGTATAAATACCTAGAGAATTTGATATGGCACTTTTTGCAAACCTGCCAAAAATCTACAATTTGTGTTTCTCTTCACAACAGGAAATAGGCTGTGCCCATCACAGCCATTCCATGGTATACTGTGATCTTGTCAGCAACCATAGGCTGAGCTGGATTGGATCTGGCCAGTACTTGGATGAGAGACTTCCAAAGAGAATTTAAGGCTTTACAGGAAGTGGTGGCAGACATTAGGTGACATTCTTACTGCTGATTCAATGCTGACCCGCATATTCCAACATAATGTAGTACAGGGCTGCTATAGGCCATGTCTTCTGAATGAAATATAAACTGAGGTCATGACTGCTTGTGATCATTAAATACAAGGCAGTTCTACTAGGACAGTTAGGTTGGGTTTCCTGTGTAAAATCTGCTTATCAAGCTGTTCCCCTGGTAATTTCAACTGGATGCTCTGTTCTTCATTCCTGTCCTACACTGTTAAGTGGATGCAGAGGTAGCTACATTTTCACTGGAGAGTGATACGATTGCAAAATATTTTGGGATTGAATGATGCATCACTCAGTCAAATTGGATCAAAACTACAAAAGTAGTTGCATAGAGGGGCAAACAACTGGACAACATGAAAAAACAGCCAATTCTTTAAAACAGCTTTTACTTAGAGAATAAGAATTGCATGCAGTTCTACATCCTTTATGTGAAAAAAGGCACATCCAGTGCACTCCTTATCATAAATTAAATCACTGAATTCAAACACAGATCCTTGTTTAGCATCAGGAATATTCACTGTCAGAACAGGGTGGGGTGGGGGGAGCTTTCACATTTAAAAACTAACTTTGAGAGGAAATGTTCAAAGCAAAAGGCGAAAGGTCAGATGAACTTTCTAACAGGGAAGATGACAGGTAAAGGTGTAAGTACAGCTTCTTCACATAGAGAAGTTAAAATCTTAATTGGTAAAATGCAAAGCCTCCTTGTTTATTGTTTCTATGTTAAAATGTTTAAACTTGTCAAAGTAGGTCAGTACTCTGCAGGACACCAGCCCATAATAAGTTTCCAGTAAAGTGCAGTCTTTCCCATCGCTTATCTCCCTCCATTCTTTAAATAGCTCATCTTTCATTTCAGAAGAGGTGAAAATGAATTTGTAGCAACATCGATTGTATCTAATGTGCTTTTTCCCAGAAAATCTAGAATTTTGAATGGGTATGATGCCAGCATTCTTAGCACAGATTCCAACAAAGACGTCAGGAGGAACAAAAACTGGTGTTTCCCTGGCAACAACGTATATCTTCCGAGCAACATCCTGGGAAATGACAAAAGCCGTTCCACTACAGTAATCTGGGTAATACTCTTCTTGATATTTACTGAGAGAAATGAAGCTCTGGCTTTGAGGGTCTCTGTCAGGCATATCTTGATGAATGACTCTTCCAATGTAAATATCCTCAAGATGTGTTCTTAAGCTAAGCAAATATTCAGCCAAACTTGGAATGTTGACAAACATTTCTTCTTCGGTTTTGAGAACAAACCTTGCAGTGGAACAGAATGTTACAGTCCACTCCATGCTCATCACAATCTTCAGTGTCTGATTCTCAAAAGAATCAAGGAAGTTTCCTTCAATGATATCTCCATGCTTTTGAGACTCTTCACTGATGTCTAACTGGATGGTTTCTGAAGCTGGCTTTCCTAAAGCAAACAAAATAAGCACAGCATACCCCCTGATGCCTGTCACATTCCCCCATGTTAGTCTAATCAGGTTACGCCTTGTCCTGTTTTCTGGGCTGCTGCACACAATAACAAGCAGAAATACCTCTTGATCTGAGCAGACCTCTGAACTGCTGATGATGTAAGACTTGGACATATTGGTCTTTAGGGGATCCATGTCTAATTTCCTGGCCTTCTCCCTGATTTTGAGAATTTTCATGTCCGTGTAGGTGACAGGTAGCGAATGTAGAAAGTATTCCTCCAGTAAATCTCCTCCAAACAGCAAAGCATGGAAGAGCATGATGTTGAATATAATAAAACACCAGTGGTGTGTCCGAAGTCTGCAGAACATCACCTGGAGAAGAGATGGACATTCACTTCTACCTCTAACTGATTCTAAAGGTAGTTATTTCAGAAGATACTGGCTAGTGTGGAGCCAGGACAGCCTGGTTCTGTTTCTCTGCTCTGCTATTTTGGACAAATTACTCTTTCCTCTTTGGTCCTTACTTTCCTCATTTGTGAAATAGAGAATGATGCCCACATTTTGTGAAGGGCTAAAAGATCCATGGATGAAAAGTGTGATAATAAGCCCATTAGTCTGTCAGGCCTACTTTGTTCAGCATATGGAAATGCAACATACAATAACATGCTAATATTTTTCTGAATTTGGTCTAACTTATTGGTGTCAGTGTTCCTAATGACCCAAGAGATTTCACAGCATGCTCCAGCATGAGTTGGATAATTTTAAAAGCTTTATGCAGCAGTCTTTGACATTTAAATGCCCATAACTTGAATTATTGTGAACTAAAGAGGAAAGTCTGTGAGACTTGTTAATTACAGAGACTCGTTCTCATTCAGAATGCCAGAAATTAGAGTTGGAAGAAATTGATCATTTCATCTAGATGATCTCCATACTATGTAGGACTGTGTCCTGTTGTATGTCTGTTAATGTTTTGCCTGGTCTCATTTTAAATATCCTAAGGGATGGGGCTTCTGCTATTTACCTGGGGAACGTCATTTATTGTTTGACTTCCACCTCTTAGTTTAACACAATTGTACAAGCCATAGTTAGTAGATATGGACTTGCTTTTTCATGCTTTTTTTGTAGTCATGATTTCTAGCATAAATAACTAAAATTAACCGACTTTCCAGTTACTTTACTATTGGCATGTTCATTAGTAAGTGGGATGGAGTCAGTGCAGTCCTATTGTAGCTGATGACCCACGGTAACATTTTCAATTCTAAATGGTCTCCTCCCGCACCATGTACTGTAGCTAAACGATAGAAAGCACTTACCTGCATGGTACCAGTAAATTCTGTGTGCTGTCAGGATCGCTGGAGCCTTTTTAGGTGAATTTTTTTTTTTTTTTACATTTATAAGCAATATTGCCACGTCTGAAACTGAAGAGGCAGAGTTGTATGTAGGTCTGTCAGGCTAAGGTTACCTGCTAGTAACCAGATCCACTGTACCTTTTATTTCCCCTGACTGTGAAAGGAAATACAATCCAGGACAATCTGCATGTTGCAGCTGCATAAAACCCAAAGTAATTAGAATTCTAGCCATTCCCTTTATTAATTTCTGATACACAGAGGGAGGGGGGACCTGAATAGAAATATATTTGCCCTCTAAAAGGCACACCCTTTCTAAAGGAATAAAGTAAGACTGATATTAACACTGTAAAGCAGATCAGGCTACACTAGTACTAATACAATAAAGTTGTGTTATATATGCCCAACTTGTGTGGGTTTTGTGTTTAGAGGAAGTCATTTGTACGTGATTATTCTGCTGCAATTTCTGTGATCAATACTGGGTCTGTGGAGGATGAGTTCATGAAAGGCCCATGCCTCTGTTCACACAGAGCTGTGGATCTGCATTATGAAAATCCTTTTATGTTGGTGCTAGATTCTGTAAAAAAATAAAAAGCTGATGTGGTCAATAAGATCTGCCCACCTGCTTTCTAAGCTTTATTCCGTGTAGTTGTTCCTGCAGAGCAAAACCTATGAAAGAAAGGGACCAACTTCCTAGTTTAAGACAATGCAAGCACAGCTTAATGTTGCAGTTATCTTTTCTTACTTGGTGAAGAAGTTCTCAATTCTTGTCGTTCCTGGGCTCTGGAGCCTTTGACATTAATGTCCATGTGTAGCTGTAGCTTCTGTTCTTGTCCTACCACCTGGTGGTGTGATCCTGTCTTACTTTACAGGCTGGGCCGGTGCTTGGATGACACCTCTAACGCACAGTGCAGCTGGTGACTGAGAAGATGGTGAATAATACTGAGCCTTTGTCCAGAGTGGTGTTCAGCGGGCTCTGCTGCAGGTGCTGTTTGATAAGACAGAGAAATGGAACCTTGGCTCTTCGTGCTCATTGTATGATGCTTTTTCACAAGGGTAACAATATTCAACCTTGTATCCTGGTGATAGCCCAACTTAGGGTGCCATAATTTCCTCTGCAACATCTCTCTTTTTCTCAGCCCTGCATCTTGGGGATGTTTAGCATGGATATGAGCTTTACGTAGCTTGCACTGGCTAGTGCAGGCTTTGTACATCCTATAAAGGCCAGCAGGTACTGTTTCTAACTATAAGCCAAATTCTACACCCACATGCATGGATGCAGTTCCTAATGAAGACAATGGGAGCTGCATCAGTAGACGGAATTTGACTTGAAATAATTAACTCCCCAACGATACTCAACGATACCATTTCTTGGTAATGCCATGTGAACAAAATGAAATGGGATTTTCCAGCTCAAGCTGCTCCTGAGAGAGGAGAAACCCAAACAGAGAAATGAACCACCCTATTTTTCTTTCCTTGGCTGCTCTTAACTCTCTAACCGTCTAGTTTGCTTCAAACCTTCCAGAAACTTGAGTCCTTCCCATGGCATTAGATTTTGCTTAAAGCATAAACTAGGCACCAGCACCCTTGTCTATGCTGGTCCACTCTTGGCATGTCCTTGGTGTTAGTTTTTACCTTTGCTTTGAGTACTGCTTGGTGGAGGGATTCTTTTGATCAGTCTCTTCTGTGTGTTCCTCCAGCTTCCCAAGGGCACACCTACACATGCGGAAAATAATGTCTGAAATTTGGGGTGGATTTTGATTTGATAGAATGGAAAACTTCCCACAACATTAATTGCGCAGAAACTAGCATCTCTTCCCTCATCTCCTCCAGTTTCTGGAATCTAAGATAATTGCCTTTGTGAGCACCACAGACGTACATTACTTACTGCTCTCCTTGCAATTCAGGTGCCAATGCATTGGTATCTCAGAATACGGTCCTGCCATGGCTGTGAAAGTGCAGAAAAAGAACTGTGATGTGATTTGAGACATGATCAGCAGAGGGCAGTGTTTCATAATGCAGAGCAGAAAGGCTGTCTCAATGGAAAGCAAAGGTAAGTCCACAGCCATACCTGAGGCTGGACTAACACCCAAGGCTGGAGATAAGGGAAAGTGAAGTGGAGCTGTACTACCTGGGTCAGAGAATGTGGGAGCGCGTCAGGCTGTGAAACCCAGGGTTTGGCTCATGGGAAGATGGGAATATAAGGGCCCTAGTCAAGTCAGCATGGCTGGGATTGCTGCAGAGGGAACGGTAAAGGACCATGAGGATGTGTCTGCAACTGCAATTAAAAGCATTCAGCTGGCCCGTGTCGGCTGACTCCAGCTTGCAGGGCGTGGGCTAAGGGGCTGTTTAATTGCAGTGTAGATGTTTGGGCTCGGACTGGAGCCTGGAATCTAGGACCCTGTGAGAAAGGACCATGAGATCACCCAGTCTGGCCTCCCTGTAGAGCACAGGCCATGAAATTTCATGCACTTACCCTTGTATTGAGCCCAATAACTTGTCTGTCCCAAGTATAACATGTATGCTCTCCAAGTGAATGTATGCATGCTGACCCATCAGCCTATGGACAAAGGATCTTTTAAGATGCAAAATCAAAGTTCTTGTAACTTGTAGCCTTTAAAAGTCCAGTGGTCTTTTTGTAAGAGCGGGGATGTTAATGTAGTGTACCGCCTAAATGCCAGAGCAGTTATATTCTGCCAAACTAAAATTCATTCTGGAGTTCCAATTCGATAGGACTCTCTTTGCTTTTTGTCTTAAACAGTCATGTAATGTTGCTGTGTCCTGTTAAACAACTGCTGTGTCCCACCCCAGAAGAGGTTGCATTTCATTGATGCCTTCAGTGATTCCTGAGTATATAGTGTCTGAAGAATGAGTGTAACAGAGCCTTTGCTTTATTAATCTCAGCATGGCATACAGGCACTGCTGAAGTTTACTGGGATGCACAACAACCAGGAATTAGAAGAGTCCATGTGGCAAGCTGTCAGGTTTCCTTCCCCACTCTGAACTCTGGGGTACAGATGTGGGGATCTGCATGAAAGACCCCCTAAGCTTATTCTTACCAGCTTAGGTTAAAACTTCCCCAAGGCACAGATTCCTTTCTTGCCTTGGGATTGCTGCCACCAGCAAGTGATTTAACAAACTATCAGGAAAAGGACCACTTGGAGTCTTATTCCCCCAAGCCCTTACACCCCTTTTCCTGGGAAGGCTTGAGCATATATCCTCACCAATTGGTTACAAAAGGACTACAGACCCAAATGCCTGGGTCTTAGAACAATGGAAAAATCAGGTTCTTAAAAAAAAATTATTTAAAGAGAAAAAGGTAAAAGAATCACCTCTGTAAACTTAGGCTGGTAGTTAACCTTACAGAGTAGCAGAAAATTCAAAGAGCTCAGAGGAACCCCCTCTAGCCTTAGTTTCAAAGTTACAACAAAACGGGGATAAAACTCCCTCTAGCAAAGGGAAAAGTTGAGAGAACAAAGATAAACTAATACGCCTTGCCTGGCTGTTACTTACAAGTTTGAAATATGAGAGACTTGTTCAGAAAGATTTGGAGAACACTGATGTCTGGTCCCTCTTAGTCCCAAGAGCGAACAGCCACAGAAACAAAGAACCCAAAACCTCTTCCCCCCCCCCCCCCCCGATTTGAAAGTATCTTTTGTCTCCATTGGTTCCTTTGGTCAGGTGCCAACCAGGTTACCTGAGCTTCTTAACCCCTCACAGGTAAGGAGGAATTTAGGCTACCCCTATGGTTATGACACAAGCACTGAAGGCATCTGCAGGGGTGACAGCTGAGTCTGGCAACGCTCCTGAAGTGGTGAAAGAAAGCCATCACCACCACTCGATCCACAAGGGACTTGCCGGGCAATTTAAAAGTGGAAAAGGACTTCCAGGTTCCCAGCAGTCAGGCCCCTGAAAGGTACTAGGGAAGTGGAGCAGAGGGCAGCCAAAGATCTGGGCAAAGAGGAACCTGAATCGTTGTGTGTAGGAGGCACAAGTTGGGAGTTTTGCATTAATTAAATGAAACTAAAATCCTTCCAAACTGACATGTCGCCTTTTAAAAATATAGCTTCTCCTAGCCAGTGTACGTACTGCTTTGCTGTTGGGTTGCTTATGAGCTCTGGACTGTGTGCACTGCTTTGTTGTTGTTGGGTTGTTTGTGAGCATTCAGCTCCACAAATTGGTCAAAAAACAAACAAACCTGAAGACACCGTACAGCCTTTTCTCAGGGGGCAGGAAGCACGTTGTTAACCTAGTGCATGAAGGGTCATCATCCATCTAGGAATCTGGTGCCAATCAGAAGGCCGCTAGACTTAGAACAAAAGTGGCTTCTACTCCCACCTCCCTAGGGTTTGGTGTCTTGTATTAGATGGGGGTTTCTTTAAATATATAATCATCACAAGTCCTGTTACTGTGGAGAGCCTCTTGCCCTGGGCTTGGAAGAGGGTCAGCTGGGGTATGCGCTGTCGTCAGGGGTACGCGAGAAAAATCCTGTAATGGCGGACAACGCATCGTCTTCTCCTTTACAGACTTTTTTCTTTTCTGTTTTTCATAGGTATATTAAGACCCTATCTTAGATTGGGGTACACGGTAGACTACATGTTTTGGAAGAGGTACGAAGCCTAAGAAGTTTGAAAACCACTGTCCTAGAAACTACATTGTGGAGGACATTCCAGTGCAGATCAGATATTTCTGCCTACGCTGATGTGGCTTTTGGTGCTGTATTTGGGGCATCTCCCTGGCTTCTACAGTTCATAGCACTTTGCAAATATTTACCCTCACCAAGTCCCCTGGGAGGTAGGTCAACAGTATCCCTTGTTATATAGACGGGGAAACTCTGACGGTGACTTGCCTAAGTCTGCCTGGTAAGTCGGTGTCAGAGCCAGGATTAGCAGTTAGTAATTCCTGGAGTCTAGTCCTGTGCTCAGTCCTACTAGAGCATCTCTCTAGATAAATCTTTAGTGACACACCGAAGTGCAGCTGTAGCAGGCTGCCTCTCTGCTGTCCCCTCTACTCACAGACATCCCTGTGTTACATCTCCCCAGGTTAAGCACCATTGGGATTGTATCCAAAGCCTTTAGCAAAGGTCAGGTTTCCCTCCCCCCCCTCCACCCTTTTGGGGGTATTTTTTAAATGGTCCGTCTCTTTTGCAACCATCTCTGAGACCAGGAGGGGAAAACTGACGATGGAAAAAGCTGAGACAGGCTCCAGCCTACAGTACTTCTCGCTGGTGCCCTGTTTACGATGGCCTGGATGGGCCATCAGGCGTAAGAGAGAATTGATACAGAGATGGTTTTTCCCTGCCCTCCCTTGTTGGCTTTGATTTGACTTGACTGTAGATCACTGGTGCGCAGTGACTCTGATCACTTCAATGCATCCGTGCATAGGCTTCAAGTTTGGCCTATTAGCCAAATCCAACAGTAGCACCCTGGAAAGCCTGCAAGGAAGGATGGGCAAGACCTTTGCTTCCTTCATGCTAATGGTGGGGGAATATCGAGTTGGGCAGGGCAACGAACGCTTACTGTGCCCTTGATTCCCACTGTTGCTACCTGAGCCACTCAGACGGCTCAGCACCATCCCTCCTGATTTGGTCCCACAAATGGAATGGCTCGGAGAGAATGCCTGGGCCTCTTGGAATGTGGAAGAGATCTTTTCCCACAGGTGCTCTGTTTTTTTTGGGTGTGATCAGAAGCCTTGATGATTTGTACTTTCCAACAGCTGCACGGGGTCCTGTGGTGTTGACAGCAGTGCCCTCGTCATTTAAGGTTATGACGAGCACAGGCAAATGGAGGTGGGGCTGTAATGACATGCCCAGTGTTAACAGTCTTAAAAAAAAATACCTACAGCTTGTGAAATGTGTGTTTATGTTGTAACAAGCTGTGCTGATTGCTTGCTTGATCTCCCCAAAAGGGAATGATTCCTTCATGGTTCCCCCGTTGTTAATTGCTATTTAATTAGGCCTAGTATGTATTTAGTCTAGGAGTGGGGTGAGGCAAGGTTTGCAGGGGAGAAGAAGAGTGAAAAATGGAAAGGATGTCTTTTCTGTTTTAAATTAGGGAATGTCTTTCTAGTGCTTGTAAATGCAAGAAACTGAACAGGGGAGGAAGGAGTCTTCAAAGCACTGTCCAAATATTAACTAGTTAATCCCCAGAAAATCTCAGTCAGGTGAACACGTCTGTATTGCTGTCCCCATTTATAGATTGGGAAACCAAGGCACAGAGGTCCAGTTATACTCAGTAAAGTGAGTGTAACCACGCCCCCACTCTTACTCCTCTGATCTGTTTCCTGGGAACATTCGGTCAGACCTGCTGACTTCACCAATTAAAAAGAAATAAGGCAAGGAGGGAGTTATGCCTGTTGTCCCTACAGAGATACAAAGCTTCAGGTGAGAGAGCAGGATTCTGTTCTGGCTCATGCATCCTCAAGGGACTGGTCTGAGTATGCAGCAGTCAGTGTCACAAGTAGGCTAAGAACTCTAGAGTTGCTGGCTCCTAGCCCGAAACTGATCACACTCCTGTCTGTTTCTCAAGATCTATGGATGCAACATGCAAAGCACAGCCTAAGGGCTTAGTAGCCTTATTTAATATTAATAAGGATTCTATATCTTGCCCAATTCTGGGTAGAGCATTCAGGCAGCGAGTAGGGTACCATGGTGCAGAGGAAAAATAGTAATTGTCTTCCCACCTTCAGCTGCATAGAGCAGGCTCCTGACTTGCCCTCTTTGCAGATTATATGGGCGGATACTGCCATGCCCAGACTCTGGGGGAGTCTCTTACCGTTCTGCATGAATATGGACTGAAATTGTCCAAGAGACGTCAGTGTAGCTGCGATGGACTTGCACAAGCTAATGGAAGGGTTTCTTGAGGATCTGGGTAAGTTTAGGATCACCTGCCCCTCCACAAGATTCCTTCCCCACTCTGAACTCTAGGGTACAGATGTGGGGACCTGCATGAAAACCTCCTAAGCTTACTTTTACCAGCTTAGGTTAAAACTTCCCCAAGGTACAAAATTATTTTACCCTTGGATTTCCACTGCCACCACCAAACTTTATCTGGGTTTTACTGGGAAACATGGCTTGGACACATCTTTCCCCCCAAAATCCTCCCAACCCTTGCACCCCACTTCCTGGGGAAGGTTTGGTAAAAATCCCCCCCTCACCAATTTGCATAGGTGACCACAGACCCAAACCCTTGGATCTTAGAACAATGAAAAAGCATTCAGTTTTCTTACGAGAAGACTTTTAATAGAAGTAAAGGAATCACCTCTGTAAAATCAGGATGGTAAATATCTTGCAGGGTAATTAAATTCAAAACATAGAGAATCCCTCTAGGCAAAACCTTAAGTTACAAAACAGACACACAGACAGGAATAGTCATTCTGTTCAGCACAGCTCTTCTCTCAGCCATTTAAAGAAATCATAATCTAACACATAGCTAGCTAGATTACTTACTAAATTCTAAGACTCCATTCCTGTTCTGTCCCTGGCAAAAGCATCATACAGACAGACACAGACCCTTTGTTTTTCTCCCTCCTCCCAGCTTTTGAAAGTATCTTGTCTCCTCATTGGTCATTTTGGTCAGGTGCCAGCGAGGTTACCTTTAGCTTCTTAACCCTTTATAGGTGAGAGGATTTTTCCTCTGGCCAGGAGGGATTTTAAAGAGGTTTACCCTTCCCTTTATATTTGTGACAATTCCCTGCTACAATGTTTTTCCCCTTCAAACTAGTGATGCTTTCTGGCATTCGGTCTCTGATCCTTTCAACATGTTTTGACTGTCGCTGGTGGTGAGCTCAGGAACAGCAATAATACTCCCAGACCATCAGGGTTGGGCGGTGGTCAGATGGGAGGCGGACTGGAGTAGGAAGTGACCCAGGGAAGCTGAACACCACATGAAGATAGGTGAGCAGCCGAGTCAGCTTCACAGGGCCCTGTGTTGGAACCCAGTGGAGTAGGGAGGGCCCACTTTCACCTGGTTCCCCTGTTCCTTGGACTACTGCTGCCCTGGACTACTGCCACTAGGTGGAACAGTCGCTATAGTGAACCATGACCACTAGGCGAGAGCCCCTTGCAACCCCCTCGGTCACAAGTGCCTAGTGGATCTGGGTCCACAGCACCAAACTGCCACAGCACTTGATAAGAGAGACTACTGTGACCCTCCCAGTCCTACCTGTGCTTCACTGATATCCCTGCAAGCAGCATTTCCTATTGCCAGTCCCTCACTTCAGTGCTGCCAGCCAGCCAGCCCACGTTGTTTTCCTCTTGACTCTTAGTGGTTTAATTGAATTAATTACAATTTAAAACTACTTTAGAGCAGACGATTTCTTACAGCGAGAGGGCATAGGCTCCCAAACATGGCTCTGATCGCGGTAAATTTCCTTAAACTCTACTAGCAAAGTTCTCTCTCAGGGATAGCAGAGGCAGTGGGGAGGGAGGCTAGATGCAATTAACACACAGTACAGAGGAGGTGGGGGGGAAGATACTAAAGTACCTGAGCCAAACCAGGTAGGCAGTGCTCCCCACTGAGGAGCTGCTGGCGACCAGAACTGCATGGGAATGTCCCTAACACAAGGAGTGGAGGTGGAGCCTGGATGAAATGAATGTGTGCTTTAAGCCATGTCTGAAAGATGGCACCCCCAGTAACTCAGTGCCCCTTCATGTGCAGGCCCACTGGGGTCAGCACGGGCTCAGAGCAGAGCGACCAACCCAATTTCCTGCCCGTAAAATGTAAAACTCGTAAAGTAAATGGCTCCTTCCCTGCTGCTTGGACCCAACCAGTGATCAGGGCTTCAGAAATCCATGAGTGTAGCTCAGCTGAATCAGAATGTGATGTTCCTGTCCCATTTAGGAGGCAATGGGAAGCCTACAAGCTGAGTGTTTCCCTTTTGAAATGCACTGGTGACCTCAAACCTCCTACTAACCTTTTAACTACTCTCTCCATTTCGCAATATATCATGTTCTCTAAAGCTTTGGCTGATCTGTTCGGATGCCAATCATACAGTCCAGTGATAACTTGCTTTGTACGTGTCTGCTTCTAAACAGCCTGATGTAGCTCGTCTGGAAATTCCCCTAGATTTTTAGGGCTTTTAGCTTCTGGAATCCATTTGCTGGAATTCAAATCGATGACCCTCATAAACAGAAGGTTGAAGCACCAAGTATCGTGTTCTGTAGTAGCTGAGTAGAGATAATTCCATGCCATTTAATTTTATCTTCATTTTTGTCCTTTAAGAGGTTTTGGATATATTCACTGCGGTTTTACACTTCTTGGGATATAAAGCTAGGGTGACCAGATGTCCCGTTTTTAAAGGGACAGTCCTGTTTTGTGGGACTTTTTCTTATATAGGCACCTATTACCTACCACCCCCGTGCCAGTTTTTCACAGTTGCTATCCGGTCACCCTAAAAAGCCCGTCATCTGTACTGACGTATCTTAGCTCTTAGGGCAATGAGTCAAACTGATTGTATCTAATAACTTGTCACCATTGGGTATTGAACCCCACCATGACTTTCCTCTAGAATTAGGGTTACCAAATAGCAACAGTCAAAAAACGGGACGAGGGTGAGGGGTAATAGGTGCCTATATAAGAAAAAGTCCCCAAAACTGGACTGTCCCTTTAAAAACGGGACATCTGGTCACCCTATCTAGAATCTTATCTCAGCCCTACTTAGGGCAGCAGGAACGTTCTTTCTCTGTCTTTGAAGTGGAGATAATATTCTGCAGTTGCACAATGCATATCATCAGAGGGCTTCAAAGCATACTACAAACTTTACTTAAGCCTTCCAGATATGTTGCGCACCCCATT